TGTATTTCATTCTTTCTTTATAAGTTACTACACCTAAACAAAAATGTCCACCTGATTCACGAGTCAAAACTTTCTATTTACTTTTGACTGTAAAGAAAACTATATTGTACATTACCTCAATTAAAAATAGGCTATGACAAACATTTCAAAAGTAGAAAAAGTAATTCACATAATTAAAGTTTAAAAGTGAATTATTAATAATAAATGTTTAAATTATATGTATATAAGGCATTACAATTTAAACAGTCAGCATATAGCTGGCAAATTGAATAATAAATCTCTGTATTTAATTGAATACAGAGATGAGACAGAAAGCTAAAAATGATTTTGAGAAAGACTTATTTAAATTAATAAATAATGCGATATTTAGCATGTATAATTATAATAAAAATATGTTCACATAATTTTAATATGATTTTGTTTGGTAACAGGGAAAACGAATAAAATCATTCAATTTAGAACACAAATTGAACTGGTTAATCATCTTAAACGATTGGCAAAATTAATTTTAAAAAATAATTTCAATAATTCCACATCTTACAGTGAACATTTATCAACATTTATGATAGAAAAGAAAATTATTAAGTTTTACAAACCGGTTAGATTTGATTAACCTAAATATTTAATTTTTACACCCGATATTCCAACCTACAATAAAACAACAACATTTATGTTTGATGACAACACGGCGATATTGTCATCGAGTAAGAACTTTTAATTTCCACAAAAAATTTTCAAAAAAAGAACTTTTAGATCATTCTCAGGATGTCAGAAGGCTATGCAAACATTTTAAAAGTAAAACAAGTGATATTAGGAATGACTACCTTAACTTTTCAGCTAAATGACTAAGACTTTCAATATATTTTCATTTAATTCATCCTGATTTTCCAATACTCCTCGACGGTATCCTCAGAAAACCTTTCATAGTGGAATATTAGACTCCTATAAATTATGAAACCAATAAACCCAACCAATTAATGCTAGTGTAGCCATTATTATGTTATCTCCTCAATCAGAAACTCTTATTACCATACCAGCTTTAAATGTCCTAAAAGGAACTATACTCATAATTCCCTCTCAATCTATTAATGATAATGTCATAACTCGTGCTAAAGGTAATCGTGTATTGCTTACTATTCTTAACTCATCAGAAAATCCTAAACATTTTCAGAAACCAGGGTTGAAAAAAAACATTTATTTTTTAATTTTATACAAAACACATGTATTTTTTGTTTTAAACATGTTTTTTTTTTTGTTTTTGAATTTTATATTTTAAACAAATGAAACTCAGAAAAAACATTGTTTAAATTATATTTTTTCAAATATCATATTAATTTAAAAATTTTGACCTTTTATTCTTCATTCTACTAAATGATAGACACCTTATTTGAAGTCCGACTCTGTACCGAACTGTCGCGATCAGCTATGGTACCAACTACGCCGCGCCGGCGCCACCAAACTTTTCCTCGAAATAAGAAAACCAATTGCAATGAGGGAACCACAGACTATTTATAACTTCGCAATACAAGTTGGCTATCGCAATAACGTCTACGATACTGTTAATTATTTATTTAGGTAAATTTTGTGGTTTTTTTTTTTTTTTTTAAAAATGTTGTCTACGGGAAGGAAGAAAGATGCCATTTGGTCATATTTTAATGTTGTTAAAGATAATAACAAAAAATCAGTAATCGCTAAATGTTAAGTTTCTTTTTCATTATATTATTAAGAAAATGAAAAAAAAAACGCTTGTTTAATTTAATTGTTTCAAACATGTTTTATACTGTTTTAAACCTAAGCAAATGTTTAAAACAGTTGATTTTAACAAAATGTTTAAAACGAAACAACCCTGTCAGAAACCCAATCTCAAAAGTTATAATTATAAGGAATATCTAGAAGCTACCATAAATGTCACTCACTCACATCTAAGAGCAACTCTGGAGGAACTAGAATTAGTCGACTAAAACAAGCTTTCTGCACAGACCATCTGAACAATGAAGTTTATTAGAAAACATTTTCAGTCACTTCTCAGACATATTTCATTTAGATGGATATCCTATTACACACACTACAGCGGTGTATCATAAAATTAAGACAGCTGATAAAATCCAGTCAATTTTTGACAAGCCCTATAGACTCATTCATAAACATAAGATAAAAGTCAATGAACAAATTATTCAACTTGAAAAAGGAGTTATAGCTGCTAGTGACTTAATTGGATTGAACTCTAGCTAGTAATACCAAAAATGCCAGATATAAATGGAAAAATTAAGTATTTAATTTGTGTCAATTTCCGAAAAATCAATCGGGTCTTAGGAAGATTTCTATCCTCTTCCCAATATCACTGACATCCTTGATCAGCTAGAAAAATCTCGTTATTATAGTACTCTTGATCTAGCATATGGTCTAAAAATTTCTAAGTCAATTTAAACTCATACTATTGAGCATATTATAATATATTATATACATATAATAGTAACAAAATTTTAAAAATTGGTATTCATAAATTTAAATAAGTATAGTGCATAAGAATTTAAAATATGTTTATAATTTTTTTCATATAAAATTGTATAAGACAAATAATTATTTTTTATTTTCCTAAAGTTTCACTTTTTAGACTTAGGCTCTTTTATAAATGATTGATTCAATATTATTTAACATTGAACCTTTTGAAAAAACACAAACTAAGCTTTGTAAAGACATTACATAATCCTATCAGATTTTATAAACACTAAAAAGCAAAAGGGAACAAGTAAACTTGGATTCCAAATAATATGCAACATGATAGAGGTTGACACGGTATTTTTAAAAAAGGTTATTAATATTAATAACAAATGTAACACCGTTATGTTCTGACTGTGGAGTCAATTTATTTTGTTTAAGTTATAAAAATATTATAATTTACAATATACAATATACAAGTGACGGGTAAACCGTAAGGTGCGGATATAACTCGACGACACGTACGGCGGATATAAGTCACAGGTGAACTGGTTTACATAGTCGCCGACGTGTCTCGCGGTGCTAAACCCCCTGACCTGTCCTATCTACCGACCGCCGGACAAGACAAACTTGTGTTATCGTCAACACTAATGAGTGCGACGGTGGACAGCTGATAATCACGACCGGATAACGTGCTGATTCACGGTAAATGAATAGTGCGCTATTACGGGCCGTGTCAAGGTATAGATACAAGCACCGGACAATAAAAAAAAACCTTATTACTTACATATTATAGTAAGACAAAAGGAAGTGTCAATATAGTTGATGAACGTTAATGTTTCTGGGAATAGTAATAGTTAGTCCTTGACGTTTTTTTTTTTCAAAAATTAATATGGCAGGAATCAACACAACAATCATATATATTTGTAATATAAAGTAAAAATTAACCACAAAATTCTAAAAAAACCAACACTCAATTTAATACAAGATAATTGTCGAGCAAGACAAAAAAATCTTAAACTTCTAAATATCCTATCAAGTTTAAGACAACAATCTGAGTTAGAGACGTACTATCTACTAGTAAAAGAGTAAAACAATAATCCAAAAAATTTAAAAACTGTATGAAATATGTCGTAGAAGTAAAGATAGATAAACAAAATATACATGTTTATGTATATAATTTACCAAAGAATAATATTCCAGTTACTAGTAAAATGTATTTTTTTTACAAAATGTTATACCAGGTGTATAACTTAATAATGGGGATATTTTTCAACAGATGGCGTTACACTCATATAATAGAGCACGTGGCTTGATATNTAAAAATTAAGTTTCTATAGTTTAATATTGGTTTTATTTCTAAGTTGAAAACCAAAAAGTACTTTTATTTTAAGAATAACATTTATAACAAAAAGTATACTAAAAATTATTTTTTTATTTTTATCATATTATTATTTAATGTTAAAGATCGATCATCAGAAACTAAAAAAAAAAGGACAAATATTTACCATCTATTTGCAATACAACAGACTTCAAAATTTCAAAAAATAAATGAAAACATCCTTAAGAGTTTAAATCTGTTCTACCAAAAGACAGCCACAAATTTTACAATAAAATTAAATTCTGAAAAAATAAAAAAAATTTATTTTATCTAATACTTTTGAAGATATTAAACTAATACATTGTTAACATTGTATAATGAACCACAACTTGGAATTCAATATTCAAATCTTAATTGTTTGAGCTTTTGCAGTTCTAAACTGGGGCATTAATTTAATATACTATTTTTTAAAAAAATGTTAACATATCATTTACTCTTTTACATTACAGTAAGGGATTCATAAATTTAATTATTTAATTGTATTTATTGTGTGCTATCAAAAAAAAACTTTAAAACATATAGTCTAAGAAACAGTTAAATTAAAAATTTTTATTTATGGTCAAAAAAAACTAATTTTTCTGTTAAATATTATTTTTATAACAACAAAGATTGAAGCCTAATGTAACTACTAAAACATCTAAAGGTAATCAAATGTTTTAATGAAATATTACAATTCATGTACTAAAGCAAATATATTTTACAGCTAAAAAAAAAAGGTACATGATCTTTTGATGATTTAACTTCAAGTTTTAAAGTAGCCTGTAGTTTTGTAGGATTTACATAATTTAAGTGATAATTTTTAAAAACTGTCATCACCTTATCCTGGACATCAACAATTAAATTTTCATTTACATCTAATTTAATTTATTCAGTCTTATCAATATCAATCAACATAATATCATTAAATACAAAATTATTATTATTAACTTTTCTGTAAGTAAACTTTCATTAAATGGTAATAAATACTATTATTTATTAAATTTATCACAAACAAATTTCTACCTAACAGTCAGAATTTATTGTACCATTATAAACGACATGACATAAAATATTTTCTATACTATTCATACATTTAAAAAAAACTGTTGAATTAAAAATATCTTAGACTTTTAATTGGCTCTTATTATTATCAAAAATATTACAAACCAAAGAATTCTTTAATCATAGAAAAAAGCGCTACCTGAGTCGATGTATGCATCCAATGTCCGTTGTTGCATTTGGCACTTAATATTAATACTCAGTGTGTATGATGGATAACTTAACTCATTGATTTCTATCATCATTATTGACCACTTATCAGTTTCCTTTTCATTTGTTTTCACATTGTCCAATTAGCAGTCTTTTTGTCAATGTACTATTGGACTACATTTAAAATATTAATCTAGAGTTCTTTTTGATATATTAAAGTTTCAAATAGAATGGGAAGTACTCTAACAATTAAAATAATGTTTGATATTAATTATTATTAGATTTTTTTTCTTATCTTCAATATTTGTAATGCAGTTGAACTATTCTATAAAGGCTTTATTTAATTTTTGCTATAAATTATTCAATTTGTTCAAATTTTAGTAAGTCAGTACATCATCAAACTAGTTGTAAACTAAAGTTTACAAACTAAAGTTGTATTTCAACTTGTTAAAATGATAAATTTAATTTACTGAACAAATTTACTTTTTCATAAAAAATAACAATTAAAACTTAGTTATTTGACAGGACATTATAGAATAATTTTCACCATAATACGGTAGTGTTCTGATCGCCAACAAATGACCTCATAAATTCTTTATTAAATTTTTTCTATGAAGAAAAACTAAAACTATTAAAACACTGTTGAACCACTGGTCTATCCAAATTTCTATCTTCATATCTAAACTCTAGAAGATTTTATACTGTTGTTGAGATCTAGCATAACATAAAAATGATGGATCCGATAAATTGTGGTACTAAGAAAAGTAGCATGTTGTTACATAAGTTTAACAATTTTGTTCATCGATAACTGAAACATTGTGTTCAAATTTAATGTAGAGAATACTTCAAAAGTATCACTTACATTATCTTGGGATATTTCAGTCATTTCGCTGTTTTCGATTTTACCCAAGTCCAGCAGAGAAATGAACTTTCAAAAACCACTCCTGAGATTGTAGGTGACTGCATAACAGTATTAAAGAGCCAAGCATAAACTTAGGTAAATCAATAAATAAATTCGGTTCCGTAAAACAACATATTCTTTTTTTTAAAACAATATCATTTAGTCATGACATTAAAATTAATACTTAACCACAAACTATATGAAAACGATATCTCGCTCGTCATTTAAACAAAAACCAAAACGACACGCGATCATGATATCAGTATGACCACAGATTCAAGCATAACATGTCGTTATTTAAACATATATTATTTTTTATAATTTTATATTTTGTTATAATTTATAATATATTACATTATTATACTTATTTAATAGATAAATACTATATTAAATCTGTTTCGAAATATAATTGTAAATATTAAATAATGACATACAGACAAAATTATTTGTTAGAGAAAAAAAAAGGGTGTCTAACTAATAATGTACAACGTGTACAGTGATTCTTTTAACACTATCCACTCAATTTCTCTTAACATAATAGTTATTTTGTAAATTTTATTTTTTGCTTTCGTCTACATATGCATCTCCATTTATCTGTTATACAATATTTTTGATGTTCATCCCTTAGGACTCATAGGGATGTCAACTTTATTTATTAAATGGAGACCTACATAATTAACTAGCTAATAAAATTGGAAATAATTTAATTAAGAAAATCACTGGTCGATAAGAACTTTTGGACCAGTATTTCTGAAGTTATGTTCATTTTTATAACTAAACTCCTCACCATTACTTATTACGTTAAATTGTAAATAATTTCTGATTACTGGTTCAAAAGTTATCTAAAAGTCATTTTGTTTTTTATAAGCTAAAACAGAGCACAGTGGTTTTCAACGTATGGGTAATTATACATTAGATCCCTCGTAATATTTATATTGCCATATTTTAACAAATTATGTATAATTAATATATCTGTTTATCTATTAATATATTTATTATTTGTCTCCAATAAAAAAAATTAAAATTTATTTTCTTTTATCAAAATTTCAAAATAGCCATTTTTAGTACTTTCTTATAAGAAATTTTGATGAATCTATAACAATTTTAGGACAAGTAGTACTAAGTTACAAGGATTTTAATATATTGATTGGTTATGTAGCGCGATTAGATATAATTATTACTGTATTCTGTACATAAGTGTTCTTCCCGAATTACATATTTGCTTTAACATAATCCAAAACGGTTATTTCCTCTGTAAAATTTCGTTTTTGTAACTTAGTTCCTTTCTCATGTCGTTGACTCAATTATTTATAATAAAGAAGGTCGGTTTAATAGTTTGAAAGGTATAAGAAAAATTTTTTGGTTTTTGGAATTTAAGAACCACAAGTTCAAAACACTATAATTTATTTTGCTTCATATTTCAGTGGTGCCTGAAGTACATGCAACCAGTACCACCCCTAGATGCGAATGCAATCCTGGCCAATGTATTAGTTTGTCAACATAAAATTGAACAGAAAATGATAGTACATGAATAACTTAATAACTAAAATAAAATTATATTAAATAGGATATTGCTATTTTTAGTATAATTATTATACTAAATTTCAGTAGATTAAAAATAGATACCTTAAATATTGCATGTCGAGACCAGGACAAGGTGCTGAGCAAAGAATTCGTAGAAATTAAATAGAACAATTCAGAAACAAAAACAATCATTAAAACGACACGAAAGAAAAATCAAAGTAGTAAGACTATATATTTCCAGTAAAAATGTACAATTAATATAACTCAACATTCACGGACATATTATATAATCTATATTTTGAAAAATATTTCTGTATGAGTAGGCGATCGGTGCACGCCATGTGTGTGTGTATGTATAGAAAATTCATTGTTAAAATTCATATGTATTTACTTATAATTTTTATAAAATATCCTTACTAATATTATTGTTTATTATTATCAACATCACCATCATATCATATATCAAATCATCACACTATGATCGCTTATCGTATTAAACAGCGTTAATAGCACTTATGGTATCAAATAGCGTTTATTAAAATCAACACATCAATATAATCATCATCCCTACTTTATAAACATATGTAAATTATATTAATATCGGCGGCAGCGTTGAATTTACAGCGTAGTTTTGAAAAAAAAAATTCTTATATAAAATGAATCGATACACTTTTTCAACACGATATACTTTTATAATAATAATCATTAATATAATATATAATGGGACATAGAATATTCAACAAATACTCAAAGGGCAGCAACGGTCGTACTTAATGGGTTACAAAAAATTCAATAAAAATAACGATAACGACCCGAATATATGGTATGGGAAAATGTAATTTACAGCGATAACATTTGTGAGAACGCGGTAATTGTAGTAGAAATGGCGGTCTTTACAATATAATAAAGCGGCAGTAGATATGGTGGTAGTCTTTAATACAATACAGCGGTAATAGCGGTAGTAGTAGTAATAACAACGACTATTTACAAATCGAATTGATTAAAAAAAAAAAAAAAATTCGCAAACGGCTCAAATTGGGCCATGTCGACGGCGGTGGTAACGCCTACGGTATTGGCGTGACCGTCGTAACAAATAGAAACGAGTTTCGTAAAAATTACATTTAAAAATAAAATTAAAATACAATCTACTATATGTCTGTCACTGCCGCGACTCACTGGTCGACGGCCGTTTTAAGCTCGCGCTTATGTTACACACGTATAAAATTTATATATCATACAGGTCATCGACTGTATAACATGTACAATTTAATATATATAAATATATAGCCGCCTCTTGTGACGACCACTCGGCAGCGTGTTAATTGGCCGGCCCGCGATGCAGGTACGACGGCGCTCGGTCTTTCCTCGGTTACAGCTTCAGATCGTTGGCGATTTTGGACGCGATATTCTTGAAACCGATTGACGTGCCCGAGATGCGCTTGAATCGGACGCCGTTGAGCGACAGTCTGGGCAACTTACACACTTCGATCTCCCACTGGACCAACGAAGACGAAGGGTCGCTGTCGCCGCCACCACCTCCGTTTCCACCACCACCTGGGTCACCATGAACGCACAACAATAGGAATCGGTCACGTTGCTCGTAGTCGCAGTTGTTTGCGTCTAATACCTGTGAAAACGAAATTAGAGAGTAACGTGTTAAAAAAACACCATTACCATGGTAATGGAGAGGAGACAGAAGAATGCAGGAACGAGAAAAGAAGAAGAAATTTTGATTTGAAATCAAAAGCTCGGGTAATTACCTCGCGGATTTCCGCCATGATTTCGGACGGACATCTGGCGGACGTCGTCTTCATACTCCACGTGAACCGCAATGATCGAGGCTGCTTATTATCATCTTGGGTACCGCCACTGTGGTTGTGTTGATGATGTGAATGGTGATGATGGTGTAAGCCATCGGCATTATTATTGCTGCAAGAAAAATTCAAAAAAACGTGTTGTATATCACAATGTTAATATTTAGAGATGGAAAGTAAACATGGAAACATTTGTTTTTTGATTTAGCCCAAGTAATTTACGTCAACCTTCACTTATCAAAACTCGAAGTTCGCCCTTTTCTTCCTCCCGAATCCGAGGACCAATTCTAACACAAAAATACTATAAAACCAACACTAAACTTGAATTGTAACTACATGTTCTGTATACGTTTAAATTTTAGAATACGTTCTACTTAAATGATATTTTGATATGATATAGGTGGAATTAATTTTCTAAAAAAAAACGTCAACCACAAATGTCTTATAGGATATAATTAATTTTTTGTTCTAATAGATACGTATAGATCGAATCAGAAACGAATTTTTATTAGGCTAATCGAAAACAGATAAAGGAAGCCTGCATTATGGAAGGATAATGAGGATTCTAGGACGATCGATCGGTACACAAAATTTCATTGATTGAACTATTATATCGAAAAACTTTCGCACGACAGTCGTCACCGTCAGGCATTTTTTAACGTACCTACTACTACTAGTACTAGAATTGCTGCCACCACCGCCGATATTGGTATTGTTGGTGCCGGTGCCATATTGTTTGTCCATCGCCATCGGCCTATGCGCGCGCAAAAAAATAAAATAAAAATAATAAATAAAATTGTTATTGGAAAAAAATAAAAATATCAAAAATAAACAATAATATAAAATAAAAACTAAAGGTAAACAAATAATCGGCGAAACAAAATTCACGCGAGTCAATAAAAATAAAAAAAAAAGGTACAATTAAGGAACAAAAAACGATTTTTATGAAAAACTGAAAAATAAATACTTATTTAGGTTGACGCGCATACACTCAACGGCCATCTCTTGTTCATGAAAGTTTTATCTGACCACCAAATATCAGATAGCGCAGAGAACATTACACAATATTTGACTTTCGAGCACTAAATTAAGCTACTTTAAAGACTGTTCTTACCAAGTGACAGGGTATTTTAATTGAACGCTGGATTTTGCTAATTTTCAATTTTCATTTATATAAAGATTTATTTCAACCAGGGAACAATAAAAATTACTTATAAACAACTTGAACAATACTACCATAACGCTTTTAGCAGACACATTTATACAATTACTTTGAACACCAATGTCTTGAGTTATATGTTTGAAAATAATAGTAACAATAAAAACTAATAATAAATAAAAATAGTAAAACTGAAGAACGTATAAACGCGTTTATTCATTAAAATATATCACATAACAATAATGCATTACAATAGTAATTCTAAAATAATAATATATGTATACAGGCTTAACCATCCCGTATATTTAAGTCTTAATAATCGTGTATATATATATATATATATATAACGGTAGTTAAACATGATTTCGACATCATTAAATATATTTCGAGAAAAAGATATAGTGTTCGACGATCCTTCGGGTCGAAGGTAGGTCGATACTCGAGTGTTGGGGATGAGGAGGGATAAAAATTGACTTGTAGAACTTTGGGGACTTTGTGTTTCTTTGGCTGTGTCGAAAATCCTTGACGCCCACGTCGTATCCTAGCAGGTTTCTCGGGCGACTTCAATGACGATGACCATGTTGATGGTCGGCGACAGTGTTGGTGGCGATTGGCTTTAACGAAGGGTTGGTGGCGGCGGTGGCGGCCGTCCTCCTGCGCACACACACACACACGTACGCACACAATTAGTCTTCGGTGGTACTTTTTTTTTGACATAATATATATTTTTACGTAAACGCGGTATTACCAATACATCCATACCATGGTCAGTACCATCACAAATAGGATTATCATTTTAATACCGCTCTTACGTAGGAACATATGTATAATGTATGTACGTGTATTCATATTTGTGTGTGTACAGACTAATCGAGTAAAAACATCGAGTAGGAACTCTGGGGGTACGTTACATACACAGTAATATACGGTTTTTACTCGCGCACACACACACACACACATATATATATAAATATGTACGAATCTTATATTACGTATTTTTCTGAAGTTATTTGCACCGCAAGGATAGCGCCACGTGAAAGCCAACCGCCACGCACAAGACTCTAAAGGCATTTACGGGTGGCAAAAGGGCAACATCACCAGTGAACGAACACCATTGAGTTTTTAACTAAAATATTTTCCAATTTAAATGTAACAAGTTGTAGTTAGCAGATTTTACAACAAAGAAAATATATACATTAAGTACTACTATTTATCGCAATTTTTGATACGATATCATTAACTGTTCTCATTCACTGGAAAAATCAAATTTTCATCATAAAATAATTAAACAAAATTGTTGTGTTAGTTAACTATAAATATTTTTATATTATAATTACTGACAAATTTTCAGCCAATAAATAATAATTACTTATTAACTTTATAAGTGTGGCATACATCAAAATGTAAATTAACAAAAAACTTTAAAAGATGAAAAACTCTTAACTGTTCATTCACTAATGAAGTCAACCTACATGAGATATACAGACGACAATTAGCCCTGGGCGTGTTGCAACTGATGAACGACAAGTGTGTAAACAATTATTATATACTAAGTATATATATTTTTTAATCGTAAGACAATAAACAATAAGAGAAAAAAATTAAGCCGTAAAACAATTATTCGGATCATGACCGACACACGGCGTGAAATTGATTACATATATTTTCATGGATATATAAAAAAAATTAGGTTATAATTATTGTTGTTACTATTATTTTGTTACACAAAACAGCATATCACTGCAATCGGTATAAAGTGGTATATTGTACATATGTCGCACACGGGCTATGCTTTCACGGGCGTCCCCGCCTGGGCCGGTTAAGTCACAGAGGGATTGATAAAAAAAATCCAAAACTTGTGAAATTCACAAATCATCCGAATTTTTTAACGTCACCCCACATGCGTTGGTAATAATGTATTAAAATAATTTATCTTATTCGATTTACATTACAGAGAAACCCAATTCGTTCACTGTTGTTGAGTCGTTAAATGAGAGGGGTATCTTTAATGAAATCGTTATCCTTAACCAATTCCCGGATTAGGATAACTTTAAAAACAATAAAAATATTTACTTAAAAGGAGAACATTCTTAGTAAATTTCTATGAAATAAAATCAAACATAAACACCAGACGGTCGGTATGTTGAGCGTACGAACGACATTTCTCGCTTAACGCAAATCGATCTTTCTATTACTTAACCTACCGGGGAGGGGAAGGTAATGTCACACTCGGAGAAGAGCGAATTTTCGCTAGACAAATGTTGTTTGAACAAAATTAAATTTCAAGTTTAAACTCGTATGGTAAATTGTTAATCCTACTCGAAACAACACTATTATTATCATTTCACTCTCTTACCGTTTAACAAATTTGGACGATATTTTCGAGAAGAAAGATGAAGGTGTGTTGCTGGTGCGCTGTTGTTGCACCCCGGAACCCTCGTCCGCGCCGTAGCCCCTGTGCCGAGTCTGGCCGGAATGGAACGTCTGCCGGCTGGGTACGTTCCGGGGGAAGGGCTGTTGTCTGCCGCCGGCAGTTGTCGTCGGTGGCGTCGTCAAAATATTTCTGTGTAAGAGCAAATGCCATAAAAAAAAAAAAAAAAAAAAAAATATTAACAACAAATAACAAAAAAATTGCGAAAATGTCAATCGATGAACGTGTTTGCATGAGACAAAACAATTACAAAACAAAAAATATTCTGCAAAAACAAGCAAGTCGTCATTGTTAATGATCAGCATTAAAACTTCATTGTTATTTACACTACTATTAAATTCACTATAAAATAAACTTCTGTATTACATCTGTTATTACTGATTAGGTACACAAACGCATGCTACAATTGCTTAATCATGAATCATTCATTCAGTAATTAATTCACATCAAAATCATCAGCTTATTAATGTGTTCCATCTAAAGTATACTCTATACACTAGAGACGTCTACAGAGAATTATTACGAATGATTTTTGGTCGAGTAGAAAATATTCGATCCTCGTAGATCTCTAATATATGCTGCATTTTGTATATCAACTTGTATAACTTTTAGTTAATATAAATATAAATGCATCTTAATTTTATTCCTATATACAGTCTAATTGTATACAGTTCTAAATATACAACTACAACTACTAAGCGAACTACATCAGGCGCAATTCGGTAGTGATAAGAAACGTAAAATGTGTTTATCTTTTTTTTTTTTTCTAAAAAAGTTTATGAACGGGAAAAGACGAGCTCAAAATTGAATTGCGCCCAATTGCCGTTAAAGACCAAGATTAGATTATAGCATCACGCAGGAAGAAACAAGGGTCGTCCCAAGGGGTGTTATGGGGTTACCTAACGGCGGTGGTATTGCTGGCCGCCACGGCGCCGCCGTTTTCTGGCTGCACGCCACCGATGGCCGACTTGGCATGGTGCTGCTGTTGCTGATGATGATGATGGTGTTGTTGTTGTTGTTGTTGTTGTTGATGTTGATGGTGATGGCTTTTGGTCGGTACTATATCGGTAGGAGCGACAGCGGCGGAAGCAGCAGCAGTCGCAGCGTCGCCACCGTCAGTTCCACCACTAGACCAAGAGAAGCACAAAAAAACCACATATCAATACAACCATAAGATCGCATATACTAGCACACGACCGTGAGCATGCTATCGCGTAAGAGAGACTAAGGCTATAAAAAATAAAAGCAACTTATCGCGACGCTTAAGAATGAGTACACAAACCGAGTTGAATCGAGCTAAGGATTCGCTTGAATAAAACCCTACCGAGCCAAGCGTCTTGACAAGCCGCTTAAGAGACAACGATGGAGACAACAACAAATCTTAGATTAAGGTAACAATATACGAAGAAAATAATAACCGAACGTTTTAAAAAACAACACACAAACACCATACACGAACGCGCATTCGACACACAACGAGACGAAATCTTTTATTACTATGATTTTTACTGGATTTTATAAATGCGGTTTACAAAAATAATGATCGGTAATATTAATCCAATATTATCAAAATCTACTCGGCAAAAATAATAAGACGATTGAATATCTTAAATACAACCGAAAATTGTAACTAACAAAAAGAATCTATAACCGAATGTAGTTTGAAAAAATCACAATAAAAATAATACATACCTAGTAGGTATTGCCGAAGCGGCTGCTCCACTGGCACCGGTAACGCCGCCATCATAACTAATAGTACTGCGTCTCCCAACCGTAGCTGCGGCGGCGACTGTTGAATTTCCAGGTGAAGGTCTTTGTTTAGCTCCTGTAATATGTAAATAAGACGATTAGATATCATTTGAATAGCAATAAACAAATTCGTAAAAAATATCATTCAAGTACCGATAGAATTGTCAGCAGTAGCTATTGCCGATGGCCTGTTTTGTTGTTGCAATCGGTGGTGGTTTTCCTTAATGGTGGCTGCGTCGATAGTGTTCTGCCTTTTGAAAGCACTGGCCGTCGCCGCCGTGGCTGTGTGGTTACCACTTGAGCCGATATATTCTGCAACGTCAAAAATGTCTTATTAGCTCCGGATTCAATTAATTATTAATCTATTAAAAGTTTTCAACAGATCAAATATTCAAATAAAAATATTGAGTTACCAAATTAGAAGGGTAATTATTTACTGTACTGACATAATTTTTTTAATTTTTCTAACAATATACTCCTAACATTATTTATTTTATACATTAAGTTAAGTCTAGAAGATGATCATTTTATATAGTTAATTATTATATCATCATCATGTAGATAAAGTTAGTTGACTGGAATTATTCTATCAAACTAAGTTTAAAAATGCATAAAGAATCATTTGGACTAAGAAACCTTTTTATAATTCAATTGATTCTTCATTCGCCAATTCTAAAAGGTTTATTAAGCATATTGCCTTATTGCAACATTTTAAATATTAATTAAAATAAATTTATTGTACTAATAATGCACATCTCTCACAACAAATACCAAACAAAAAACTTTACTCTAAGATTTTAAAGCTTCAAAATGAGATATTAGTGCATAAAATACAATTTTAAGGATTAATAACTTTTAATCCCTAGTTAACATTATGTATTGAGGTGATCTTATTTATAAATTATCAATTGTGCACCTCTTTAAATATAGAAATAGTGCACTATGTGACCAAATTGGCAAAACCAATTACAGAACATATCTCTCGCTCAGCAAATGATGCCATCCGTAACAGAGTTTTGAACCTGAGACGATAGTGTAAATCAAGCACTACAGCGTTACTGACTTGGTCACAACGTCCCTAACAGTACAATTACATAATAGTAATAAAACCATACCAAATTTTAGTTCCAAACTACTGATTATTTACAATAAGTTATAACTAAAACATTAAATAATAGAACGCCTTTGAAATTTGATGTAACTACTTACTTGTCTTGTTTCCACTGCTACTGTTACTAGAAGACGAACCTCCTCCAGCGCCATTACTACTGTTATTGGTCTGATGACTATCTCCAGCCGATGCTGCTGATGAAGCTCTCCGGGCAGCTGGCTTAGCAGCTGATGCAGACCTGTGTACAGATGTAGCTCCACCACTACGGTGGCCTGGCGATGAAGACCCAACACCTACACCGCCACCGCCACTAGTGTTGTTTAATGAAGAGCAGCTGCTGCCAACAGCAGGCGCTGTATCATCACCCTAAAACAAAAAACAAGTTTCAGATGGTATACAAAATACATTAAAAAAAAATTCAATCTCAACATCCTTATTATCAAAAAATTAAATTATTAATTATGCTATACTATACATTCTTTTGCACTTTACCTAGGCTAATATTAGACTCTCAATCTAATACTAGGAAATTTCTAACAAAAACTCTATTGGGAAAAAAATAAACAATAAATATCATGGTTTAAAAATTAAGAGTTTTTCTTTATTTTTGAGTTAATTTAGCTGAAAATTTTAGAGAAGATATATTTACTATTTTAAAGTGTTTTAAATGAGTTATTATTAAAAGTACAGTTTTAATAATATTTTAAGCTGAAATAATAGTAAAAAAGGAGTGACCAATTGTAAACTTCATTTGACTACTTATTCATTAATCATTAATCAACATAATTGAGTTTGGAAGAGGCTGAGATTTTACACTTACGTCAGCATTGTTATGAGTTCTCGACAGCAATAGGTAAGTGGCAAAAATATCATCATATTTGGCTTGTGAAATGCTCTCTTCGATTTCCGCGCGGCTGTAACCCATCGTCACTAGAGTATCTGTGATTCGGCACACTATAATGTGACACAAACAGAACAATTAATTTATTTCTAAGATTATCATAATTTTATTAAAATGATGTTTCTATTTAAAAAGTTTCTTTATCTTACTTCCGACGCGTTTCGACGGATCATTTACAGGTTCTACATATGGCTTGAGTTCGCCTTCGCCTCCTTCACCGTCGTATCCCAAATTCATCCATTTATCTTTCATAATGACCTACACGTATAAAAAAATCGTTTAAAACAACAACTTTCGTACTATTAAAAAAGCTAAAAAAAAGTTATACCGAGTTATAAGTGCAAGATAAACTGGACAAATCAACTTAGTCATACTTACTTCGAGCGACGCTCGTTTTAACGGGTTTAACACCAGGAACTTTTTCAACAGGTTCTCGCAGTCGGTGGACATATAAAACGGTATACGATACTTGCCCCGGAGCACTCGTTCCCGAAGTTCGCGCAACGTAGATCCGTCAAAAGGCAGTGAACCACTGACGAGCGTGTACAAGATAACTCCCAGTGACCACACGTCTACTTCGGGTCCATCGTATCGTTTGCCTGTAAAGGAAAAGAAAGTCAATCAATAAACACTAATATAAATAAATAATGTACTTTAAAATGGTATAAATTTAACAGACCATAACGATTGGATTGATACAAATTTGAAATGTCAAGGTCATTCGTTATTAGTTTTTACTACATTTTTTAATCAAATATTTTAATATCTTTTTCGTACCTTGGAAAAGCTCAGGAGCCGCGTACGGTGGACTCCCGCAAAACGTATACAGTTTGCCGCCAGGTGTGAACTCGTTACTGAACCCAAAATCAGCTATCTTGATGTTCATCTCGGCGTCCAGTAGTAGATTTTCAGCTTTCAGGTCCCGATGAATAATTCGTTTTTGATGACAGTATTGTACAGCCGATACGATCTGTGTGTAGCAACGACGAAGGACATTGTAATAAAAGTATAAAAAATTGTATTTATATTGCTAATAATTTAAAATTCGAGTACACACGTTACATAAATCGCTTGTTTGCTAGCACAATTTAAAAAAAAAACTCGATTTTATAAGAAAAAACTAAAAAATATTTGTAACTAAATTATAAAATGGTTAAGCGTACAGAACAGTGATTGGCAATAGGCCCCGCTGTGCAAATCTGGCCCTCGGGCAGTAAAAAATTGGCCCACCAAAAATATTTAACACTCTAAATTTGTTGTGATTTTTTATTTAAATAAGTTTATTTATTTTTACCTGTCGAAACTTGGCTCTTGCTTCCTTTTCACGCATTCGACCGTGCAATACCAAATAGTCGAACACTTCACCACCGCTGGCGTACTCCATGACTAAATACAGCGTTTTTTCCGTTTCAATCACCTGTAACAGCTTGACTATGTTGGGATGGTCGAGCATCTTCATGATGCGTACTTCTCGGAACAGCTGTAAAACACGAATACGACAAAGTGATAAGTGACTCTGAATAATGAACACCGATTATTCTATAGTGACGTTCGTACCTTTTGAAGACTGCCCGGCAGCAGTTGAGTCTTGTCAATGATTTTGATGGCAACCTGAAAAACGAATGAAAAAAAAAAATGCATGAATTGAATGAATCGATATCGAGATCATCATCAATAGTAGACATTACCTCTTTGCCGGTGGGCACATGTTTGGCTAACTTGACTTTGGCAAAGTTCCCCTTGCCGATAGTTTTCAGCAGCTTGTACTTGCCAATGTGCTGCGACTGAGACTGGGATGACGACGAATGCTGCGACTGGGACGACGAATGATGATGATGTCCGCCCGATGAATCGTCGGTTCCACCGCCACCGGACCGGCTGCTCCGGGACGAAGCCCGGGTGCTGCCACCCCGGGTACCGACGGTGGCGGCCGTGGCCGTTGTCACAGCTGCAGTCACGGTACTGTCACCGGTCTGTAAAGAAAAAAATTCATGTATAATTTAAAAATTTATTATAAATCAAATGAATTTACACATAATTATCAATCAAAACACCAATTGAAAATCTATAATCAATGAAAATAACATAACGTTACTGTATCTGTAACGACTAATCATACTAGGGATTTCGTCTCAAGACATCTTTATTCCACTACAAAGTTCTAATAGGGTAAAATTCGTTTCGGAGTGCCCATGTCTGGCGGAAAGACCGAGTTCTAATCACGCCACGTTTTACCACTCATACATAACTAATAATAACTTTATAAAACGCTTTTAATTCGTATGGATTTCAAATCGTACTTATAAAAATGTTTTATTTATTTTTACAGCAACGCTCTTGGGATACTCTATTGGCTGGGCAAAATAAAAACATAATTCGTCACACCTACATCAATAACGCTGCCCAGTGCGCAGAGGAGTAACGACCGAATTTTCACTGGCCGACGACACGCATCGTTTGCACCAACAACAGCGACATTCGGCATACACTAATTCCGGTCCCAACATTTCTATACACTAGGGCGGTGGCGGCATACATAACATACATGTCATAATGTCTTAACAACGTAACAATAAACAAATATAATCGTCCGAACGCAGGTCGAGTTTTCGCGCCTAGAGATTTTTTTTCTTCGCGTTCCGTTGCCGCCGATCTATCTGCGAAATCGGCAGCATACACCGTTACCGTCACGGGTACGCCGCGGTGGTAACAGGCGCGCGACACGGTCCGCCGACGAAAACGCAGTCCCCCAGAAGAAGTGGGCGACGGCCGAGAAGAAACTCGATATAACATGTAACACTCGCTACCGAAAAACAAGAAAAACTCTCGATAACGTGCGAAAAAGTACCAAGACGACGACCGCCGTTTCCGAGGCAACGGTCAAATAGACCGTGAACGAGTGATTTTCGTCGGTAGGAACAAAAGAAATATTAAAAAAAACCTGAGCGAAACGAATACGAATTGCGAGGCTACGGCAATGACGTATGCACACGGAGATTAAGACACTGGCTGCTGAATGCGACAGAAAGTCTGTGTGAATTTTAGCAACAGGTATTACCGGCTGCCGCAGTGAGAGATTTCGTTAACAAGTATTACGGGCGACTGCCCGTAGGAGATTTCGACGCGACGGTCGTAATTTTTTTTATTACTTCATAACGTCAAGTCTCCTACTTTCCCTAAAAGAATCGTTCTAGAGATTCAATTAACGCATTGTGCCCGTCCAGGAAAAACACTGACTCAGCTGACTCGTGTGTCAAATGCAGAAATCCCGAGCCACCTTTACGTTGCCCGTGACTCATACCGTTTTCAGTGTTGATATTATTCGTGACTCACTCGAGAAGACGATGCTGCAGTTGTCCGACGCCTTTGAACAACCCCGTACGACGAGCCGGGTACCGCGGCCGTCGCGTCAGATCCCAAAGTCGATTTCTTGTATCGGCCGGAACCGTACCTAGACGGTGCCGGCGGATTCGACGACGGAGAACAACCGTCGTCTCCGTCTATAGCCGACGCGTTGTACGCCGGCAACGACATCGGACCGGCCGCGGAATCCTCGTCGTCCTCCTCATCGTCGTCAAGATCGGCCGCAGCGCCTTCATCATCGACCCGCTGACGGCGCATCCAAGCCGCGTAACTGACCACCGAAGCACCGCTACTCATGGTGCCTAACGAACGGTTGCACGACAGTCAAACATCAAAAGGGCGACGACGGTAACAACAGCGAGGCGATCGCGTCCCGACGACCAGCCGCAAAACGATGGCAAACAATACTGAATTCTACCAACAGTCTGTAGCCTACAGTATTACCGTGTACCGTTACCATACCACCGCTGAGCAACAACCGGAACCTGCCGCAGCTGGTAACGGAGCTCTAGATACCACCTCCACTACGATAGCCGCCTAACCGTTACCGCGATATCGAGTCCCCCACCACGCGATCGCCATATCTCCCACCCTCTCCTCGTGGACCTATCAAGTCCACCTGAGAGAGACCAGGGACACAGCGCTGCACTATCTACCTGTAGCGATTGCTATGACAGCAACACTAGACATGTCATACAAATTAACGCGAAATTCGCGTATCGTTTTACCTGTGCAGCGCTTTCTCCGAAAAAGACACGCAGCACAAGCCGCAACCTCGCGGCCCGTAATACCGGTCTGTGTTTAATGATCATACATTACACACTGTATTGCGATGTACTAAGGTTGTACACATAAACGCAACACAAACACTCATCCGCATCGTAAAAGTTACATAAATGTGGTGTTTGTGTGTACCAGAAACGAAAATGCAACATTGCAATACAATTTCTGCGGTCAACAATACATCAGACTGTACACGGAAAGACTCGTAGACGCAACTAACGAGCGCCTGCATTTGTAGACCACGTGTAGACAGTGAAAAAGGCAAAAAATAATGGCGTAAAATCAAATCATACGGATTTTCATATGATATTTATACACGCGTCTTGGACCACGGTTTTTACATTAAGTACACGATAAAAAAAAAAAATACATCATTCGAGACTCGAGCAGCTTATTGACTTGAACTACACGTATTATTACGACGGTTCGTGTTTACCGCCCCCATGTCACAGTAAGTATTAAGCGAACTGCGAGGAAAATAGGCGCACCCTGTCGGCGGACGCGCTTCGCCGTCAATCGATCGTGGGCGACTACGTCATCAAAGGTCGAATCGATACCGCACAGTTCTGTAAAGGATGCACTGCTACGAAAAGCGCCAGCCGACAAATCACTCAAAACTCGATTTAATACCATAGGTCGACAACCTACGAGTTTCTAGACCAGTGTTTCTCTTTTTTGGGCTATTTAAAATTATTCTCTCGACAAAACACAACTGCTATATTATTCGCCCACTTTAAAAGGCTACTTCTTATCAAATCGCCTTACACATCAGGACCGGTAACTGCCACTGTCCGCCGCCGACGCACAGCGCACATAAATATCAATTCTCAGAACTAGAGCAAGCAATAGCTCACCAACTTAATACGTCGTAGATTACTGTATAAACAAGCACATTTTTATTGATTTAATAATACCACCAACACGAGGCAATTACGTACATCATAAAAAACAATAAAATAATAATGCGGACGAGGCCAACGCGAGCGCACGACGGGCGACGGCGGCCGCTGTACGTTTGAAGATGTGAGCAATATGAGCTATTTTTGGTCGTCGAATATGTAATCGTGTATACGCAGATAACACGATACACATTAGAATAGAAAATTGAATGTACAAAGAAGTGTATAATACATATGAATTAACGGGCGACGAAGGATATGTGCCACAAGAGAATGACGGGCACGGTGCCGCCGCCGCCGCCGATGATGCCGTTGTTGGCGGGCAAAACAGCTGTTCGACCTTGGTTGACCCCGTCACCGCCGCGTTATTCAAATCCAACGCCCGAGTACGAGAAACGTCGAAAATCCAATTTGCGACAATGATAAACAAACGATTTCGCGATATTCGCTGACGAGCGTTTGTCACGGCGGCGGCGGCGGCAATCGTGTGCAAAAAACGCATCCACAGTTATTATCAGTGTCATAATAACCCGCAGCTGGTAATGCGTAATTGGGTAGGAGTTTCAAATTTCCGCATCCCATGACATTTCAATAAACGACCGCGAAACCGACACTCGCGACGACGACAAAACTACAATAATTTGTTGCCGTGACGCGTAAACGCTCACGTAAATAAAAATATTAACGCGATAAATTAAAACGTTTACGCCACTGGACGAAATACTAGTGGATGCTGTTAACCGCCAAAAATATACACGCGAGGAGATGCGGGTCGGTAACGAAAAAAACTTATTAGGAATGGAAGCCAAACGCGCGACTATTTCATACGCCATCGGCAGCAAAAATATAAAAACTGACGCAACACTCAAACGCGATATATGACCAGAAGATAACACACGTTGTGTAAATAATACAAATACACTACAGAGGAACGCGCTAACAACGTGACAATTTAAAACCGATAACTAAAATGTATCCTAAGCACATCACGCGCTTGGCAGCTTCAAACTGTACCGCCGTGTGTTCCCATACGTTACGTTAGATTTACAAAAAAGCTTTAAAACGCACTCGGACACCGAACATAAACCTATGCGAATCATAATTAATGGGAAATTTTTTTTTGCAATTTTCACCAAAAGGTATTATAGTTTGAATTACCTCCTGGTTTACACGGCCGAGGGAATCAAAATAAATAAATTCCACTATTCCGTTAAAAATGTCTCCAACTATTACATTTCACCCGACAATCATTGACAAACAGTAAAAGTGTAAAAACATTTTTAGTACTATGAAAAAAATGAATTCAAATATCATTTAAGAACACGTTCCGAACTGCGCCTATCTCACTTCTTTAATATTTTTCAAAATATACAACAAAATCGATTTGTATACAATTTTTTTGTAATTCTCGATTATTTAATCTATCTTAATTTAATTAAAAACACGTCGTATGTTTTTTTAAGATGATTCAAATCTGATCAGACTCCTTAAAACCTAATGTAAAGTATGTTGTATAATTAAAATAAATATCATCGCTACTCAACATTTTGAGAGAAATATAACACGAAAAGATAAAGGTCACGTGACATAAACAATTTACGGACGGCAGAAAATATCAAAAACTGAATTAATATTATAAGTAATCAATGGTTTTTGAAATGGCGATGAAACAATTGTCAGTACGTTTAAACAATCAACGCGATAAGTCGATGTAATACCTTTACTCGTTATTCTGACAATAAACACACGCACATACACTTTTGCTCATTGCTGATCATATTGTTAACTGTTTTCAGTGCAAAAATATGGCGTCGTTTTCGCGACACAGTAAAGTTTTTGGAAGAAGAAGCAAAAAAAAAAAGTAAAAACGAGACAGCACTTGTACTCTGCACATGTGATAGATTTGCACCAACATTATAAAACGCCCAGGTAATAATTGACTGAAGGCGAAATCGATTGCTTTGAAAAATCCAACGCGTAAAAAATACTAATTATAAGAGTAGAAAGTATTAGTATGTATACAAGTGGACGAGTTCGGTAGGTATAGATTTCGTTTTGAAAGCCATCGGAGGAGCTCTCGTAAAATGTTCACGTGATTATCCAGTGAACTCCTCTCAAAAGCGTTCAGATAATGTAAAAAATAAGTACAAAAACAATTAACTAAAAAAGCTCAAGAGTCGATCATGAGATAAACTTGATTACATTGCGGCGGCGAATAAAACTTTGCTCTCCATATAAAGCGCACAACGAGCTTTCCCCGAACGCATTCGACGACAACAAAAACAGCAATTATTTATATTCAGATTGTTTATCAAACAGATTAATTACCAACGATGCGGGTATCGCGCAATAAAAACAATAGGCAAACAAAAACTTGTATGTTTAATTAATAACGTGTGCCTAAATATTAAAGCCGAACGTTGTGTACACAACACACACGTCGAACCGGCAATATTAATGACGACAAAATCAACGCAATACCACCACATAAGTGTTGATTATTAACTAAATGAGAAACAAGCCAAGAGAAAATAACGATTGGACGAATAGTTGTTGTTATTATCAATAAATTATTATATTACAGGAATATTGTTTGAATGCATAAATATAGCGACTTTAAAAACGAGTGTATTTTATTAACATCATCGTGGAATGGGAATAGACTAGGATTTTGTTCTTATCCGCATCTCTATAAAAACAACACACACAGAACGCGACGAGAACATTAACCTTATAAATGCAAAACACGTTTTTTTTTTTTTTTAATTTTATTAACCAATTGGATATCTCGACTGCCGATTATCGCGCACAGTGTATTTGCATCGTTATACAGAAATACTACAACTTTAATGTCTTCCGCAGATATGAAAACGTATCAGTCGCGCCAGAAATTATGAACACACACACGCCCATACACATTTACCTTCGAACGCGTATCGAGTTGTTGTTGTCAAGCTGTGCAAAATACCAGAGTACAAAATTAAAACAAAAGTGTTATAAAAACCGGTCGAGATCGTTAACGGAGAGGATAAAACAACGATTTGACGTTGATTTTGTGTGCACGTCATTAAATACAGGGCGTTTGAGCATTTATGTAAACATAATTATATAAAACACCGTACGCCTATCGGACATAATGCAAACACAGCAGAGAGCAACACAATGAAATCAGTGATTCATAGTACGATTTGATTTCCGTACCAACTTAAGTCGGTTTACTTCTGTTAATCATCGGCGACGACGGTTAAGGTTATTTTTATTTAGGAAACGGCCTCCGTCGTTTCGAGAGACAATTCGATCTATGCCAAAAAACACACATACACATTTACATTACAAATATCTTCGCGTACATAGACGTTGTTCGTAATGTGTTCGGACAACAAAAACAACACAATAATAATCATGGGGTAATAAATAATAATAATAACAACAACAACGATGATGACTTCGTTACGGAGCTGCCGATAAGTAAAGCCACTAATATGTAACGAGAACTATTTTTAATACAAGTCGTGTATTATGATAATTAGTTGGTAACCGACGACTAATTATAATTTTTCGAAACAACAGGCACATATCGCAAAGTGACCATCCCATAACAACAGTGGTCGGTGCACGCCGAGAGGTTAAACGGGCTACTTAACGAGTCCGACCAGCAATGCAATTATTTTTGTATTGAAAAGCGACACATAATAGCGAGTAATATTTGACAGTAGTTTTAACTACACTGAGTTTTCGCCGCCGTTCCAGTTGTTATATAACACATTATTTTTTACACCAATAAAACACATTTCGCATTAGCCAAGGTTCGCGCATTTTGATCACGCGAACAATGTTTCTAATTTTACGACCTAGGGACGAGCGGCGTTCGTAGGGAAAATAAGGTTTTTCGTTTTTATTTTATTTTTGTCGTGAAACCATCGAGTATAGCGCACGTGAATGACCGCACCGAAGCCTTACATTAATAATGTATACATATTTATAATGCGTCGGCGACAAGTCCACCAGGTAGTCGACGACATTTTGGTTCGTAAACTTTTTGGCATAGCGTCATGAGACTTCAGAGAAATAGACGCGGTACAATAATTTACAAAGAAATTCGCGTATTGCCGAAAAATAAATAAAAATTACGCGATAAAAAAACCTGCTTGAACAAACATTACATCACTTCAACTAGACGTTGTTTATTTATTTATTGTAGCAGAGAATATTGTACACACGTTCAATTTTGGGTCCTTATAAATGTATCACAAGTTGATCCTCGAATTTTATCACCAAAATACATAAATAAAAATATTTATGTAAGTTCAACAATAATAATTTTTTCAGTTCAATATTAATAATTACACCGCATTCAATAAAAAAGTAATAAACTATACTAATATAATGTAATGTATTACATTATAATGATTGGAATGGGTAAAGTTCAGCACACATTTGAACAAAATATTCCATCGGCGGCAATGCCATTATTTTCAAAGAGTGTTAATTAAACTTAAATTTTACAAGTCAAAAAGCATAAAAAAATGATCTATATATTTTTGAAAATAACAGTTGGACTATCCTCTTAACAAACTTCAATTATAAAAAAATCCAAAATCGCTCTTAAAAAAAAAAATAATAAATTGTGACAATATATTAAACGAGATTTATTAGATATTCAATTTTACCAGGTACCGCGGTAACCAACTCATAAGACTTGTACATAAATGTGTCAAATGCGCTGTACTATTCAACTACAACACTCACTTGTTTAGAGGCAGCACCGCTACCTGCGCTACGGCGCCTCCTTTGCATTTGCTGTTGTCTACTACTCGCTGAAGACTTGGCGTTCATCGTTCCACCACGCTGAGGGTGATGCCGTTGCTTCTGATGCTGCTGTTGTACTTGAGGATTTGACGAAGTAGTGGTAACTGTATTGGAAGCTTCGGCTTTCGAAGATTTGCTGCCTCGCCTACGAAATGCCGCTTTTAACCATCCCAATCTTTTAGAATGCGTTTCAGTGGCACGGGACGCCACTTTATTGTTAGTACTTCCAGCGTTCCCATTAACACTTTCTCCAGCACCATTGACACCTTCCTTGTGCCCGCTTTCATCTTCTTCGCCACATCCCGGCAGCTGACCACGTTGTTGGTGTTCGCGCTCTAACTTTTTTAGCTGCGATTCTACCATAGTCAACTCATTAAGGTTGCTCTCGATCATGGGAAGCGTAGGATCACCGGCGTTGCTACTACTACTGCTACTTCCACTGTCTATGCTGCCACCGCCAGCTACAGTAGCCGTCTTATCGTCGATCTGCACCACTTTGAATCGACTCTTTTTAGTTGAACCATTTGCTGGAGAGACGGACTCGTCGTCAGCTACCTTGTTTATCCCGTCGGTATTTTTTTTATCACAGTTGGGTGAAGTTCCGTTGGTTTTTTTATCACAGTTGGGTGAGGCTTCTTCGCCACGTTTACCACTATTGGGACTTCGCTTGAGTTTTTCTGGTGCCAATTTCGCCCACGCAGTCGATTTCCAAACGTCGTCCCACGTTCGTACCACAGTATGAAGACCAAATCGAGACTCCATGATGGACTTTTTGCTTCGCAACCGGATGATGGGTGTACCCGTTACGGCGTCCACCACCACGGGAGTAGTTTTGCCTTCTCCGTCAACTGCCACGGCTACAGCGGCAGTGATACCACTGACATTAATGTCGACCTTTGGTGTAATCGACTTTTGTCCTTCCGCCACCAATCCATTGGGTTTGTCAGCAGTGATAACTTCTTTAATGGGTTCAACATCATCTCGAAAACCGTTTTCCACTTCAGTCTTATCTTCGGTCATAGGATTTTCGACTTCTTTACAGTCTTCATCATTAACCTAACATTTACATTGAATACAAACAATCAAACAATGTGTCGATATTTACAATCGCAGCAAATACTCAGACTCGTCGATTCTAATAAAAAAAGTAGGTACCTAATATGATTTAAGGCAAGGGGAAATTCATAATAAAAAAATCAGAAACCCTTGATGTTTTTTAGTATTTTTTTAATACAACATTCATAAGGTACAGTTTAATTATTCATATTTAATAATAAACGTAGAGTCCTATCACATCCAAATGTTTTTCAATTAAGTAATAAGTATATAATAAAAATTGATCACTTGTGGCTAATTAATTAAGTAATTAAAAATATACTTTTAAAAACCGTTTCATGATCGATTGATCGTTTTACTAATAACAATTAATTAAAACCATTAATACAAAAAATTATTTTTCATCAGTTAAATCTATATTAAAATAGTTAACATAGTGACCAAGATAATCACAAAAACCAACAACATAAAAATGATGGGTAGATTGACAATATGCAGTTGTGATGCATGCAAGAAAAAAATAATAATACAACAAAACAACTACACTAGATAATGCCCGAGTTTAGGAATACGTGGGTAATAAATAGGAACTGAAAATAATTCATAATATATGTATATTTTAACTATAACCAAGTTGAACGCCCAAAATTTTTCGTTTTTAGTATTAATGTTAATATTATACAAATATCACAAAATCTATTTTAATTAACTACCATTATTGTATTTGTATTTCATCGACGAGTCTGTGCTTTGCAACATATACATTTACATAACACACGTTTCCGTGTTGATACCTTTTGATCACGAACACCGCCGTTTTCTTCAGCTACAGCTTTGATTTTAACTTCGACTTCTGTTGAAGACATTTTATTATTGTTGTCTATTACTATTCCTACATCCGGCACCACTGCAGCTATTGATACCTGGTCTGGACCTTCATCGTCCGCTTTCAACAAATCTTGCATCTCCTTGGACTTGACGCTGAGAGGAGCAAAAAGGTCGCGTACGGATATTTTACGAGCTGCAGAACTTGAGCCGCCACTACCGCCACTGCCAACAACAGTCTGAGCGTGATCATTAGAGAATCTTGCATTGATGTCGTTGACGAGATTTGCCGCCGCTTTGCTGTCGCGTTGCAATGAACACATGGACTTTTCTTCTGTAGACTCATCGGCGTTTATTGACAACGTGGACGACACGGATTTATCGATAATCTCTTTTCGTTCTTCTTTAAGAATCAGTTCAGCTGTACACTCACTTTCTTTTTTAGAGACATTTTCAGCGACAATCTCGTCCTTCTCCCCTTTAGACACTCTTTCTACAACAAATCGGTCGTCTGATTCGGTCCGGTCAGTATTCAAGTCTTGCATCTCCTTAGATTTGATACTAAGTGGTGAGAATAGATCAAGTACGGATATTTTACGTGCTGCAGAACTAGAACTACTACTACCACCGCTACCCACCACAGTTTGGGCATGATCGTTGGAAAACCTGGCATTTATATCGTTGACAAGATTGGCTGCTGCCTTATTGTCCCGCTGTCTCGAACACATCTCCGTGGGTTCGACATTAGTCGCAGGCTTACTTGGTGGCGAATCGACAGTATCGCCCATCGTTTCGACCTTCTCAGTGAATTCATTGTTTATTGTAGGATTACTCGGCGGCGAGCAACATGTTTTATCGTCACTTTCTTGTTGATCGCCACTATCGCTTTCCTCAGAAAGCAATAACAGGTTGTCCACCTCTTTGGACTTGACGCTCAACTTAGGTGGCGTGAAAATTTCATCAAGTCGTCGACGGCGATCACTATTATCGGCAACCGTGGTCGAATCAGCCACCAGTACGGGGCCGCACGTCTTGCTGTAATCGCCATCGTCGTCGTCCATTACGCTTGGCGAAAAACCCAAATCTCAACTGACCATTCACGAAGTTGGGCATTCGCTGCCAGCGTATTCGAGAAAGTCCAAAGATAACTTTAAGGGCACTTAAAAGATCGAAAAAAACGAGCAGAAATTAAACACGAACAGCTACTGTGTCCGAAAGCGTCGTTTAACATAAAAAGTCATACACACATACAAATTAGTACGCAGGTATCCGAACACAAAACGAGAAGCCGTATCAATCACTTACATGAAAAATAATGCCACAAGTCGTTCGGCTAGAAATCGAGAGTATTGTTTAAACGGTACACAAAAGCCCGTAAAGAAAGTATTCAACGCGCGCTTAAACGCAACAGCACTCTAATACGATATACGATTTAAAGTTGTTGTTTGAAGATTGTATTTTGTAATATAATAATACGTAGGCGCACTTAAATTCTCGATTGATAAACAATAATTCTACATAGTAATTATCGACTGTGCCAAAAACGTGTAAACGACGCGTAAACGGAAGCGCGTGGTGAACAACTACTGCGGCGCTAACTCTGCTTGACTGGCGGCGGCAAGCAACTCAGGCTGTTTCGTCCCCTCCGCCACAACACTGGTGCTGCTGATAACGAGACGACGACCCACCAAACCGAATACAGTGTGGCAAACAGCAGTAACGACAACAAAGTTTTTACCAATCACGTTCCAATCAACAACAGCTGTCTAGAATGATAATCACTTGAACACATTACGTCCAATATGAAACCGCATAAAACTTACGGTTTTTTCACTTAGCATACGCATAGTGGCCACACTCTGTACGCGCGATTCTACTATCTAAATGTTCATAATCAGTTGAATAATTCCTCAGCTAATTAATAGTCACGTGTGCAGCTGCACGTGTGCTCCAATCGGTTGTTTGGACAGTTTCTCGAAAACTAATATGCACACTGTTAATCATCATGTAATCATGTATGTAGTCATACGAGTTACATTGCGGTGGCATATGAAAATATGCACAATAAATAATAGTATTGTTGCGCAACAAGCAGCGCACGTGTGCGACTACACTTTTTGTAAATTTTGTGTTGCGGCCACAATGTAAAAAACAATAACAATAAAAACGAACGCCCGGACGACAATGTTAATGAAATAATAATAAAAAATAGATATGGCCCAGTTTAAACATAAAAAACAAATCGTTATTGTCTCTAATAATTTATTTGTGTGGCTACTAACGCTGTGTGTTATTAGATCGTTATTACTCGTCTAATAAAAGAGCACTAGCATTTCTCACTTATTCAACTCGGCGGCGATCATATTATGGACTCGGCGACGGGGAGGCGCTACAATGCACACCAAACTATATGAAAAGACATATTTTCTACGCTATGATTCAGTTTTTTTCTGAATCTTACTATTATTTATAATTGTTTAATTACAGAACATCTTTAGCTTGAAAAAAAAATTGTACAAACACACTCATCGTCGTTTCGCAACGACCTCGACGCCTCTGTATTTTATTTTATCGATTTTCCACGGCAGCCATCGTAAAGTTCGGTTTGAACGAACGAGACGCCTAGAAATACCTCACCTCGTCCAACACGAAGTAAAAGTGTAAAAAACACATTTGATGCCAGTTTTTTGTTTTCAAAGCGTTGCACAATATCCAAGTTGCACGGTCACCGGAATGACGTTATCGATATTATATGCAACCTACGAAACAAAACACAAATACACGATTCGCCATAGGCCATTTCAAACGTAATATATTTATAAATGTTTTCATAAATATTTTCATGGTTATATATATATATATACTATACATCCAAGTAGCTGTCGTGACATTGACGTTAAGCCGATAGCTGTCCAAAGAAAAAATTCAATGGTGCACATATTAAACCTATTACAATATGTAATCAGTGATACGCCATTGAAATTGAAATAAAGCATATTAAATGAACGTTTAAAACCGTAAAAGTTTATCGGTCTCACTTGTCATTACTAGCGCGTATTTTGATTTCAAATTGATATTATTCCATTTGTGTAACAATTTGCACACATTGGACCAACAATAGTTCACGCTATTGGAAAGAAAGTAAAAACGAAGGAGTGGAGATATATTCAAGATAGGCAATTCCAAACCGAGCCCTCCTGTGCCCGAGAAAATGACGACTAATGTATTTATAACAAACGTTTCCCTTCCATGAAAAATCTTTATAAATCGTATTCGAGAACAACTGTTACAAATAACCTTATTGCTATGACATACATTTGTTGATTATTAAACCAACAGTGAGTATAGGTGCTATTAAAAAAATTCCATTGTTTTTCTGTTTATTTGAAAAAAAAAAATAATCACATTAATATTTCTCACACTGACCAAGGAAAAACAAATAAACCCAATACAAACATGTTGGACATCTCACAACTAAATAAATTGCAATTACTGGCCCAGCTTATTGATAATTAGGGCTCAGAATTATATGCATATATATATTTTGTTAAGTTATTCCAAACATACCAGCCAGTACAAATTTTTGTTGATCAACTTAAAAACTTAGTGGTGTAATGTTACCAAGGTTGTAGTTCTGAGGGGGATTAAGGGGTTCACCCTCCCCTAAAACAAAAAATATTTCTGCGCTACCACATAATCCTACGACAAGTTTGCACAAACATGGGACACTACAAAGTGGCTCAAACAACATTTATAAATGCATATAATTCCGGGTCCTCCTAATTATAATGCTCGTTGAACACACAACAAAGATATTTAAGCATAAAATTATCATTTCATCGCACTCTCGATGAGTATTCTACAAGGTTCCGTGTAGAAAATATAAGCTGAATACTCTTCAAAAGTCACTCGGAGTGGTCGTCGAGTTTATCTTGAATCTTATCTCCGTTTTTGAAAAACAGCACCAAAAAAAAAAAAATGTTTGGAAAATGAACAATCACTTATTATTTTACTAATTTTTGAGTACTTATACTTGAAGATGAAATAAAAACAAGGAAAAGCACTAACGCTTTTAATTATTATATTTCTCGTTACGATTTGATGCGAGGACGACTAAAAAAATATAATGAATACAGTACCTACGAGTAAACTATTAAAATAAAACATGAGTAAGACGATATTGACCCAAGTCGAGAAGAAAAAACTTAATCAGAATAGTTTCATCAATGACTACACGATTTTTATTGGTGAACCATTTAAAAAAAATCGTTAAATAATTAATAAATATCATTTAATCCTATTTACGGAAAACGAAAAAAATAACTCTACGAGTATTGTAACGGTCGCAAACAGGCACACGTTATTTTTAAACGGGGCGTTCCGAGGGGGCGACAAAGTTGAATGCGAGTTTTGATCGAGTCCGATAGATTGCGCCTCATATTGTGCGCTGCCGTTAATAAGATTTTCCATTGCAATGCATTCGCCGTCTATACCCAAAAAGCTTGCATTCAAGTCTCTCCCAGTCAATTACGGAATACGTCTTAAAACAACGCCATAGATGCTGCACGTGTGCGTTCTTAGAAGCCCTTAAAACCCAATAGCTCATCTGGACAACCGAACACTTGTCAATATTGCGAATAGAATTCAATCTAGCAAAACACAGACTACGCATATGATTTCCTGATAGAACAACGATCGCAACAGCAGCTGCTGCCATTGCGGACAATACGACGAGATGATTACAAGTTCCACAATTATTACGATTGCAATCGTTGTTGCCGTATGACCATATACGACGCCAAGGTTAACCAGCAGAAGGCCGGACAGGAAACGAGGAGGATGGTTGGGCGTTGGGACGATAAATAAAGCAATCGAACTACTATAATCGAACTGCTAATTCATCTCATAGATATCAATTCAGACGCAATGATATTGATGGCAATTGGAACGGCGACGGATCGTGTATACCACACTGTGTAAAATACAAAACGAGTATAATTGGTGACAGACAGATCTTCTAAGGAAAATTTCTTTAAAAAATAATTCACTCTAGAGAAATCACATAGAAAGCGACAATCTCTCATACACGATGAGATACGCGTTATATGTTACTTATTATTATTTTTTGAATCGGTTACGGACGACCAAGATGAAACAAATCGACTAACATGAAGAATTCACACATTATAGTTTAGTCATCGTTCTAAAAACCTATACTCAATTTTATTACAAAAGAAAAAACGTACAAAAAATAAAAGGCAATCGGACGACACGTACCGATTATCGACGGTTCGGTATAGATAATAATATCATCGTTAGTAATAGACATAGTAATATTAGAATGTTAAAAAAATTCAAATTCTGCAAAACCCGCAGTTTAAATTTTTATGTTCTCGAACGAAGTCTAAACATTAAAATGTAATGTTACTACAGGCAATTAATCGATCCGAGTGTTATTTAACACTCATATTAAAATCGATTATAATTACTTGTATATAAATATTACAAAACCGCCAAACGTATTGTGCAACATTTTTGTGATTTCAGTATAATAATTTATTCCAATAAAATTGTATTTTAAGTATTTCTCTCGTTAAGCGTAAAGTGAAATCAAATGTAACAAGAAAACATAACACAACTAGAGCCGTTGGTGTAACAAAACATAACAATAGAAGAATTTTCATAAATTTTCTCAAAGGTTTTTCTGACCTGTTGGTTCCTGGTTTTCTTAAGCTGCCGGCGAGCTTGCGAATGTGTGAACCGACGGTGTTGTCCGGCGGTTACCGCGGCCGATTCCACCATGTGCCTGCTGCCTTCTTGGGACAATCTGTTGTCGCGCTGCTGCTGCTGCTGCCGCCGTACGACCGAGGTATTGGCCGCCACAGCAGTCGATGCGTCCGAAGATCGATCGGTATTAGGCTCGACCAACGAATGCCGATCGGCGTTGGGTACGATAGACGATCGTGTGCTGCTACTACTGTTAGATCGTCGAAGCAACCGTAACATAACGGCCGCGGGGCCTCCCGTCAACGGGCCCACTGCATTACCCACGGCCAGCGTGGCCGTTGTTACCGCGGCCACTGTCACGATCATGCACGACCCAAAATCTAAAAGAAAAACGAGCTACGAATTGCAAGTACATGGACAAATTAACATTGACACAGGGACGGTGCGGCCGGGCCGATAAACGCACCACTGTAACTACTGTGACGGCGCGGCCGTTGCTGATAAACGCACCACTATGACTACTCACCGCGACACCACCACGTTGGCACTCAAACAACACGTATACACACACACACACACTCGCGAGGCGGGCCGGCGCGCGCGCACACACACAAACGGTCGCCCGAGGACCCGTTTTCTATCTTTCCGTGGCCGTTGTCATCGGACACTGCCGCGTACGGTCTTAGATATAAACTACGTTCCTGTACAGCGGTGTATGTTCCGCCAACGGGAAGGTCAAAGCGACTGAGACTGTGGTGGGGACGAGCCGGTCGAATTGCCGCGCGCGACTTCTTTAGGTATACAATAAACGTTTAACGTGTGTGATCGTCGAATGATGGCAAAGATTTCATATGGTTCTTTTGCCGATGCTACGGTCTAACGCACATACCTCGCATAGCCCACGGCAGGTAACATGCCCTTATTCGGCACAGCTGGCAGTCAGGGGGTGACCCGGGAATAAGTAAA